TTGTTAGTTTCTGTGGTTGCTAATCTCATTTTTACGTCAGAGTTTCAGTTTCTCCATATTATTAGAGAGCCATTCCACTCATGGTGGAACAAAATTCTGCAGCAGAGCGATGGATATTCTGAGGAAGGGGAACGCTTTTTAGCTCAGCAGGCTGCTGCAGGCCATGACGCCAGACCCAGAAATAGCCCAAAAAGAGCAGCTAGTGATGAATATTTCAACCATCTTCTCCTCGAATGGCTCCATCCTGCCGTCTGCCTCTCCACCATCTGTCTCTGTTCAGTCCCCCAGTCAGAGGAGCTGCTTCCTCCAGCCCTCTCCCTCCCCGGCTCGGTTGGGGGTTCTTCAGTCGATTTAATTATCAATCGTCCATGAAAAACTGGAGGATCGTCACTTTAATCTTGGCTGCAAAGTTCAGGTTTGCGAGCACTCGCTCACAAATGGGAGATTTCTTTCAGACAAAAGGGTTTATTTCTTTATTAATCTTATATACAAACAATGACATCATATTTGCTAAAGTCATTCAGATAATTGTGTCGATTTGAAAGCAGTCAAGAGGCGTCCAGTCGGAGCTCCAGTCTGAGAGTGTGCAGGGTCGTCACTTTGTAGACACACTTTGGGGAAAAATCACCTGCATTTCCAGTATTCTAAACAACAAAAGGACCCCCCAGTTGGTGCTTATCCTACATGGGATCCCACTGCCCATTTGAGTGCCGCTTTCTCTGCGCATGGAAAGGGACCTAAGGAGGCCACCCCAGTGCTCTGCTGTTTGCAGAGGATGAAAACACAAAAGAAAATCCTTCTATCCAGCGTTTGGTTTGGAGACTTTGACAGATCGGCAAGTTTTTCTGACCCGGTGGTTTTTAATTCCCATAAAGTAACAAAAACAACAAGTGAAAACAAGAATAATAAAACCTTTTAACTAAGTCTGAGATAAACTATTAATTTTCAGGCTGATGCAATGACACCAAACCCCTTAAAACCCTCCATTTCCACTACTAACAGCTCTTTGAAGTTGTTTCTCACAGGAAAAGTTGAAAAGAAAAACTCTGTTTACTTGCTCTGTGGACCAGATGCTGACTTTAGCCTCCAGCTCGACCATTTTGAGGACTTCTCAGGGGTCTTTGTGGCCTCTTTAGCATGGCAACACAGTCATTTGCATGGTTGCACAGTTGGAGGGCTCCTTCACAAGTTTGCTTTTATAATAGCAAAATTAATCCCAGAACTGTAGAGGGAGCCAAAGAGCAGATAGAAGGAGCCATGAAAGAGCTGAGAAACAGGCCAGCTTCCAGGAAAAGGGCTGATTTAGCCACTTCGTAGTCTCTAACCTCAGAATGATTACTTTTGTTGCCCATTATATGTGATGCAACTCTTACTATGTGACTACTTCACAAACTTCTGTGAAACCGATACTTTTTTGTGTGCAGTGGCACGGAAAAAAAAGTAGATAAATCGTGTAAATATTTAAGTTTTAGCCCAGACTGCTTTGCTGTGTAGCGCTAACGCTCACATACGTCTGTAAAATATTCTCATTTAAGGGTCGGAGTCCCGGGAAACCTTTGACATCTTAGTTTAAATTGTTAAAACACATCGTGTGAAAGGTCAAAGCCAGACATTGTTAGCCTAGCGTAGCAGAAAGACTGGAAGGGGAGCAGCTAGCTTAGCCTCAGGCTTCTTTCATAAGCTAGTTATTATCTTAATGTTGCATAAAAGACTTTAAGAAAACCTCCAAATACTTTGAATATTTATGTGGCTTAAATAGACATAATAGTTTTCTCTCTAAATAATCCAATGGATCACATTTATAGGCCAAAGTGTGCTACATTAAAGGTGCAGTTGCCCTTTAGCAATGGCAACTTAGCCTTTTCTCATAATAAAAGTGCTCATTTCGGGGTTTTGGGCGATGTTTCCTCTTCAGTATTTCCTGTTAAAAACAGCAAAAAGCACAATGCAGTAAATCAGAGCTGCCACGTCTTTAACAAAAAGGACCAAAAGTCTGCTAAATGTTGGCTAATGTTATTAGCATTTGCGTCAAGTGTCTTTTCCACATCTGCTTCTGTCCTCCTTTTAATCATATTATCACACTATTAAAAGAAAATACATAAAAGCAACTTTAATTCAATTTAAACATAGTTTTCTGTTGTCAGACAGTTAAATGAGATTTGTATTTTGACCATGAAGAGCCTTATTAAAGCTGCATGTAGCTAATTTAAAGTGAAAAACAGCTGTGCTCCAATTGAATTTAGTCTCCTGACTCAAAAATGTTAAAAACAAAACCAGGGATAAAGTCAGGAGAGATAAAAAAAAAAAGCCTCAATCAACTTCTAAATATTCCACTTTTGCTTCATTTTAAGCAGACTTTTAGCAGAAACTGGAAAAAAATAAGTTTTTGGAGGAGTACTTAACAGAGACGAAATCTTAAATAGTTTTATTAATTAATGATGAATTAAATCAAAGTAAGTAAAAGGGCAGCTCTGATGGAAATACAGAGTTTATAACAAACTGGTTTTGTATGTAAGATCAAACCCAGGACAGAAAAAGAGGTTTAACACCTCTAAAACAAGCTAAAATTAACTTTTATGGCAACATTCCATTTAATAGTAAGAAACTGACGGAAAGTCTGCTTTATCATGTTTAGACGTGGCTGAAGATTCAGGCTTCCATCACACTTTGTCATATTTTGAATTATTAAAATAAAAAAATTACTTTACTGACAGCTTCCTGGTTTGTCAGCAACCATTATGAGACCTACAAACTCAGGAAAGTTGTCGTTAACTTCCAGTTTTTCTGCTCGGCTAAAACCGACCACAAGCTGTCTGACTTATGGCTTTTAAGGCCGTTTTAAGGCTCAGAAATGGAAGGAAGACGGCTTTAAGGCTGCCGTAGGGAGCCCCTAACAGCCCTGTCCCTTTTTCCCTGGCTGGCCGTGGAAACCTGCAGGGCTCCTGCTGGGATCTGAGCGGTCTCCCTTCAGATCCCAGTCGCTTTTTTACATATTTTTTTTTATCTCTTTTTTATTTTTTTTGGATCCCTCTTGTTTTTGGAATCTCTTTTTTTGGATCTCTCTTTTTTTTTTTGGGCTGACTAGCCTGTCTAGCTCCACGGGGGGCGGGGGGGGGGGGGGGGGGGGGGTTGGCAGCCTGTCCTCACAGCCAGAGGAGCAGGAGCCCAGTCAGGCAGCAGGCCAGCAGGGCCGGGGGGGCGCGGCCCGACCCGGCAGAAGCCGGGATCCTAGTCAGACCTGGTTTCTGGGTCTTGATGCTTTTGTTGGGGTCCAGGCGCTTCGTGTTAGCCCCGCCCACTTTCCCCAGCGTGGGGGGCGGGGCCTCGGTGGCGGTGCCTGGCAGCAGGGGGTCCTCCTCTGGGGGGGTGGACGCCACACTGGGGCTACTGGGAGCTACTGGGGTGGTAGACTGGACTGGGGGCTCAGGAGACCCGGCAGAAGCCCCCCCCCCCGGAGGCAGCAGGGAGGGGTCGGGCGTCACGCCCTCAGGGTCCTCGTCAGGGTCCTCCTCCACTGGGAAAGCAAAGTAAAACCCTTTTTAGGACCAGAACCAA